CCCTGAGAAGTGATGTTGGTTTGGTCGAACTAAAGGAGGCTGCCTATTTGGTGTCATCTCCAAGGGTCACCTTGGTGGTGAGGGAACTGGTGATGCTGTTGGATAGTCAAAGACTGAATGAGAGAGGCGCTGTCTCTTGGGACTTGGACTATCTTTACTCTGGCTCCTCGCAGCGCTGCCACTTTCTATTGTGACCTCTTGCCTGGCCAGCGACGGCACCCGGGCCTTGTCACCCCCGGAACCCATGGTCTGACCAGGCGCTGTGGTGACGTTTCCTACTTCCCCACATCATCCCACGGGCCACCGGAAAACGTCCGTTGTATGCGCAGGGCTGGCATTCGGCTAACACCCCCCACCCCCCCCCCCCCAGGTGCTCCATTTCCTGTGTTTCCACGCCCCAACTGCCCAGTATTAAATTTTTTTTTTAAAAAAAAACACTTCAAAGATTAAATTGAGTCTGAGATTCTTGAAGTCTGAATCCTATGTTTCGTAAAACACAGTGGATCTGAAGTTCTCAGAGACCAGCAAGGATTGAGATAATTGAAAAGAAAAAAATATGAAACACTGAAAACACTCCAGAAACATGCAGAAACATCTGTACAAACAGATGAAGACCATGTTAAAGGACGTTGTGAAGCAGCATAGTACATCTTTGTTAAATATAACTTTAATAATGAATTAAATATGTAATTAATGCTGGCCTTTAAATATTTCTTTGGTCAGTGAAACTGGGTATCATTGCTTACATATTCAGATGAACACAAAAAAGTGTGAGTTAGAGACTTCTAAATTTAAGAATTATAGAGGGTAGGGGCTGGAGAGATAGCACAGCGGGTAGGGCGTTTGCCTTGCATGCAGCTGACCCAGGTTCGATTCCCAGCATCCCATATGGTCCCCTGAGCACTTCCAGGAGTGATTCCTGAGTGCAGAGCCAGATGTAACCCCTGTGCATCGCCGGGTGCGAACCAAAAAGCAGAAAAAAAAGAATTACTGAGGGTATAGTCCCTTTAGTTTCCCTCCCCACGCCAAATCTCAAGACCTGGACAAAAATGCTCTTAAGAACTCTTCCAGGCCTGCTTTTTCATCAACCCTGGTTAGTGGTCATTCATAGAAACAACTGAGTGTGAGCAATGACAGATATTCTGGGGTTTTGTGGAGGGACCCTGACCATACAGCATTATCTGTGCTGGCATAGTGTATATCCTACATTTTGGGCAGCTCAGTGAGTGATCCTTGTGGAGCAGGTCACAGCAACTGACTTTTCACACCGAGAAGCAAAATAGCTTCCATTTTGAAACCCGAGTAAAACTCACTGCAAGTCAGATCCTTGTGGGTCTTCCTTGTGGGATTATGCTCAGTTTCCCTCCTACACAGGTCTATGTCGCTCCCTTCCTTGAGATGTGTCATGAGACCCAACTGAGGTGGTCAGGCTGTGTGAACTAAGAAGTGTTTGTTGGACTGAACTTGTTGATACACTCAGCTGAGAATCTGGACTGATGGCTACTATCTCCCAATGTGCCTGGGGTAGGAAACCGTAAGAGGGCTTGTAAGTCCAGATTGTCTCTTGTCTAACTACATAAAACTCTGTTTAGAAGTAAATATGTGTATGACTCTTTATCTCCAGTCTTAAAACTTACTTTACTCTGCCTACCCAGGTGCCAGGTGCAGACTTTTGGTGTCAGGATACTCCAATATATGATTCACATGTGAAGAGATGAGTAAAGGGGTCATCGGCCCATGTGGGGCCTTGCTCACGGCAGGAGTGGCCTGTGTTTCAAGTCCACAGTTTCTTAACTGTGGTGTCCTGGCTATATATGCTCAATAAACTTAGTGTGGAGAGTCAGAAAAAATTGTTTCAAAGTAAATATAGATATGTTATCCATAAATGTTGGGTTTGTATATTTATTTGATAAGACCACACTCAAAATTCTCTCAGCAGAAAAGATGTTGAGAGTGAAAAAAACTTTAGAAGCCCTGCTTTAAAACTTAAAGATTTAAAACAGTCCTCACACCACAAACAGGCTGTGGGAAATTGGAAACTCTTCCCTATTATTGAAACCACTTTTGCAAGTGTCGTCGGAGTATCCTGGAATGGGACAATCCATGTTGCCTCCTGAGCACAGGAATGTTCACACAACACACAACACACACATAATCATCTTTTTCATAATAACCCCAAGATTAGGATAGACCTCTAGGCAAAACAGTTTAGACCTTTTAAGGTATAATTAGGGCAAGCAAAAAAATGTGCCCAAGAAAAAAAGGTGTTTTGGATGTGAAGGACAACATAGACAAGAATAGAACAGTAGATTGTCTTACTTTATATTGTGGGTGCCTACTGCTGGACTAAATGAAATCCCCAGCCTGTGTTCTTCATGTATTGAATTTTGATGTACTAACTGCCTACTTTCTTTAATTCTCTGTCAACTTAAACAATGCTGATGTATTGGGAACCACGATGGGAGAGTGATATAGGATTGAATAATCACCTTGTCTGTAAGACCACTGATTGCTTACTTTAGGAGAGCCTAAAATTTGAGCAGTCCTTATAAGTTTATTTGTCTCATTGTTTGGTTTGACACCTTTTGGTCAGAGGTTGAAGGTGCCAACCCAATTAGCTTATCTATACTAAGGTGCTCCCTAAACAGAAACTTGAATTTGTAGAATTAACCAAAACAGACAAAAGATGTGAGAAAAAGCATATGGCACACAGAATTAAACTGCAAACTCCAACAGATGTACACACAAAGAGATACAGAACACTCATGTTCATACAAATGCACAGGTGTACGTTTTCACCTGCTCAATCCTGAATTCAGAGTCAGGCACCACCATAAGCACACCCAATCCAATACTCAGCCACATAGTCACCACATGCATGAACGGATGCCACACATACACACACACAAAATTTCCAGGCAGTGAATTCAATGCTTAACATAGTTTTACCTAAAGAGGTATTTGTGAACTGTTTTATTTGTGGACTTCCTGTGTGAATAGAAAATTAAAAATTGTGATGATTGTTTTTCAAAGATAAACTTTTTCATTGCAACTTTAAAATATCACAAATAGGTCTTCAGCCTCATCAAGCCTCTTGCTAGTTCTATAGCTGGACCTATTCGATGTTATTCCTTTGCCTGCTAAATTTTTCAAAAACAGCTGCCATCCAAAACTTTTTTGTTTTTGCAATATTTGGTTTTGTAATATTCTTGTGTTAATGGTGAATGGTAGTGTTAATAAACTTGTTTGGTTTTGTAATATTCTTGTGTTAATGGTGGTGTCTTCCTAGAAACAAGCAGCTGAATTCAATACAAGTTTAATACTGTTCCCTTTCAGAGTTAACTCATATTTATGGGCTTGTTACATAGAACAATTTTACAATTGCAAAAATGTCACTTGGTGAGACAGGTCAGTGTATACTGCAATGTATACTGTATCCAGAAGCTCCCTTCCTAATTAAAATCCTTAGCTTAGAAGCCAGAGATGTTGCTCAAATGCTTGAGTCATACTTTATGTGTGTGAACTCTTGAGTTTAACACCCAGGAACACAAAATAAATGAATAAATAATAATTCTTATTTATTTATTTATTTATTTTGAGGGGACCACACCTGGTTCAGCACTCAGAAATCACTTCTGGCAATGCTTAAGAGACCATATGCGATACCATGTATTGACCCCAGGTTGACTGCATGCAAGGAAAGCCCCTTACCCACTGTACTATTCTTTCTGGCTCCACAAAGAATAAAAAATATTCAAGTTGAAAACCAGGTGAATTTCCTCCAAGGGAATCAACACACACAGCACAGGGGCACCTCACCTAATGGAAGGTGAGTCCAGGACTTCAAATGCTAACAAAGGTCAGGTTCTGGTCAGACTTCAGGTGGTTAATCTAGGAAAACTCAACAATGGTTTTGTGCAAATATTCTTTTGAGGTAGAGATAGGTGAATGTAGAAATATCTCCTCCCAGTCTCATGCTAATCAACCAGGATAAAACATGAAATGGCATACAGATGCCCTCATGGGTTTTAGCATTCTACAGTGGAAGAGATACAATATCATCACAATTGAAAACTGCATATCATCAAAATAACAATAAATTATAATAATAAGAAGAACAACAACAGCAAGAATTAAAGATTCCTACTGCCCAAAGATAAAAAGATAAAATAAACATTCCCTTATGACATAGAACCTGTGAGTCCAGGGAAAGGTAAGAATTTGAAGTTGTTTCTGTGTAGCCAAAAATGAACACGCCTCTCAACAAGGTTAGAAATATGGGGCCAAATTATCACAGGTGCTTTGTAGGGTACTTTTGCATTGGTGATATTCTAACAGAAAGAAAAATGGGGGAAATTTAGAGTATCATTCTTCAAACTTCTTTCATCTACTGGCCCAAATGACACTTGTCCTGCATACCATTGAAAGAGGAAGCCTGTTTCTCCTTGCCAGCAACAAGGAAGCCACACTTTCCTCTAGCCAGATGTTCCATCTTTCTCCCAACAGCCTGACACATATTTCATCCTCATGGCCCTGCCTCAGCTTTTCCCAGGACCATAAAGCTCTGTCCTGAAGCTTAGGCTGACAGGGAAATTAAGATAATGAGCAACGCCCAGAGACATTTAGACCAGCTAAACGATCCTGTGATTTTCCTGTATTTTTTGTAAATACTTGCCAGTTGATAAGAAATTAAGTAGTCTTTTAAAGGGCCGCCCAAACCTCCCTTTTAACTTACTCCTGTACAACATTCCTCCCTATTTGGGGAGCTCCTTTCACTTCTCTTCTACTTTCCAATAAACTTTCCTACTTTCCAACACTGCGTCTGAGCATCTTTATTAACTTAATGTTTTCATTTTTGAAACTATTGAAGCACCTGGAAATTGTGGGTGAACAGAGACCTGCCATTGCTGCTCCTGCATCATTTGCATTATCATTCCAAGAACAGGCACTTATAATCAAGACAGCATATTAACGGTTTTCAGTCTTTCCATACCTGCAAACTAATACCAGTCAGTCCTTGAAAAGCACTGCTTTAGAGGCCAGCAAAAGCCAGCTTCCTGATCATATCCTGTGCTAAAAATGGCTGTGTGGTTTTCCTGCAAAACCAATAAAATGAGTATACAGGGTAAGATATTCTCAAAAGTTGATGAATCCGAAGCTGCACAGACTTTCTCTCATCATCATGGAGGAGAGGTTCTGATTGTTACTGTAATTCTATTAGACACAGTCCCCACAGGCAGAAATTAAATATTGTCATAACAAATATTGTCTGTCTGTCTGACTGAATAGCTTGAACCAACAGACTTTGTCCGGGAATTTGTACCATCAATATAGAACACTCATTAGTATTGGAAACAATGACTATTTGCTCTTTTTTTCTATATGATTCAGAAGCTGCATGTGGACACTAAACTCTTAAAATTTTGGTGGTGTAGTTAAGGAATTGAAATTTGCATTAGGTTCAGTGGACTCTATTTCTAATTAAAGGAGACAAATATGGATAGTGATAACCATAACAGCTCACTTAACATAAGATTAATTATAGCAACTTAATTTATGTAATATTTTATTACTTTATTGAAAACTTATCTTGAAAAGTATATACAATATAAACATCTTTAAAAATATCAGAAAAATAATGATAATGATTAAATTTTTTGCACTTGCAGGTGGCACGACAAAATCTCTAGAAGTAGTTGAATGTTCATAATAAAATCTTACTATTGCGAAGTAAGATTAAGGGCTTATGGAAATTGCATACAATCATAGAAGTCTTGAAACTGTTTTGTCGCCCTTAAATGTTCTCCTGAGTTTGAGAAAGAAAAATAATTTGGGAATATATCACATCCTGTGTGTCTTCTGCTATAGGATCCTATGCAGAGAAAAATAAGATAATGAGTGAAGAAGAGGTCATTGTAGGAACTATCCATTGCTGGATCTAGAAATATGGTGAGGGTTTGGGAGAATTACCTTGCCATCCATCATTTGATTTTCTTCGGTCTCTGTGTTTAAAATGGCGACATCTGAGAGTAGAAAATAGAGGTAGGACATTTATGACTGCTCTTCAGGTTTTAATCTATAGAAGTAAATCCCCAAACCAAAAAGGGCATGGCGTACTCTAGGTTTCTTAGTCTGTTTATCCTACTAAATTAAAAAAAAATCCACATAAAACTTATGTACATTGATTGACTCAGATGTATTAATGCACATAATCAGTTGGCCCCATTATACACCCTCTCATATTGAATATTTCCTTCTATGTCCATGAGTTCACAAGAGCTAAGAAGCAGGTGAAGCAATGTAAGTGGAAGTGGGTGAGTGGAATGAGAAAACAGGCATTCTATGTATCTTTATGGAAGGTCCTTTATCAGGAATCTCAACATTAGTTGAACTACACATCACTTCATAAGAAATGAATCCATAACTCTATTCTCCAATTCTATCACCCCCAATCCTTGCTCAAATAAAAGCATCCCCTTCTCCTTTACTTACGTCTTTTCATAAAACACCAGTGACAAACAAGAACAGCCAGGCAAATGAGAATGGAGATGGATGTTACAGAGAGTCCAATAATATACGGCTTGATAGAATATCCTTGAGGAAATAGTGCTTCTGTTATTGTGGAAAGATTAGAAACAGACATTGACTGACTATAAGTCAAACAATAGTGAGTACCTATTGGACTCATAATATAAATTTTTAATTATTCAGTCTCTAAAGTTTACCAACTTAATCATCTTTTTCTACTAAGAGAAAAAAATACAGGGGATGTGTACCACTAGTTCAAATTGATTTGTTAGTAGAAACAAAAGAATGTGAAACCAGGATTACCAATCTCAAATGTACTCCTGTATTTTGCACTATGGAAAAATATATTGTGCCTGGCATGAAAGGTAGTCCCTTACACCAATCATAAATAAATAGCCCTTTCATTCTATCTTCACCTTCCACAGTTTTATGTTCTGAGAACTTAAAAGGTGGGTTTGGATATCGGGGGTTGTTTTAGTTTATATGACAAAAATTGTATGCCACTTCTGATAATCTTGATAATGTTTCACAGAGGTGATAAAGAGTGGGTGGGAGGATGAATCAAGTTGAAGGATTGGACGGTGACAAGGGATATCACAGTGGGTAGGGCGTTTGCCTTTTAAGCGGCCAACATGGCCGACCCGAGTTGATTCCTCCGCCCCTCTCGGAGAGCCCGGCAAGCTACCGAGAGTATTCGATATGCCAGACACAGTAACAACAAAGTCTCCAATGGAGACGTTACTGGGCCCGCTCGAGCAAATCGATGATCAACGGGAGGGCCTTTACCAAATCTCAAATATGAACAATTTTTTTTCTGTTTTCTGGGCTTGTGTCTTTTAAGAGGAAAGTGGATATTCATAGTTTTGAGTTTACCTTTACCTCAACTTATGCCATTAATAGGGGTATTATTAGTTTAATATTAATAAACTAATAATAACTAGTTCAGATTAGTTTGGTCATCAAAGCTAAAAGAGCTATGAATGTATCCCAGAATCTGATGCTGGTCTCTAGTTTTCATCCTCACCCATGGGACCCCCGACTAACATTTTGTCATGCTCCCGCATGGGGTCTGACATTCCACATATGATTTTCCACCAAGTTTCACAGAAGCATAAGTAGAAAAGCGCCCAGCTAAAAGATGTCTCATTACTTTTGAGCCTACTTTATCGGGTTCTGATTATTCAGCACCTTTCCCAGCATCATCATGGTTCACTTGCTACAATTTCTACGTACATGGACTCATTATACCACTGTTCTAGTCAAAGAAATTTGCAAAAGGATTTCTTTTAAATTCTTTTTACCTTAATTTCTGCTCGCATCTGCTAGTTTGTTCCTTCTCAACTGTCACGCACAACATGATACTATTGCAATAAAAATATTAAATGCATACAAGATAAAGCATTTTAAAGGAATTTTTATCAATGTATTCAGAATGTTTTATGAATTTTCTCTATATACACTATGATGGGATATGATGGTCACAGGGACTGAATTCTTTTCCTTCTAAATTTAAAATATTAAATTCTAATACTATTAGTGGATGTCAGTATATAATTAATTACTTTCACTCCTTCTTAGACATACTATTTTCATAGGATTCATGCATAGAATATAATAAACACCACTCCTGACATTGGGTGAGCATCAGTGATCCATTTATTATACACGTACCAGGAGAGGTAAAATGCCCCTTCAGATTCAGCGGTGAGCAATGTCTCAGCTGGTGGTAGAGAATTAGAACAATAGAGAGGGAAGATGACTGACCCTGGATCAAAAAGACAAATACATAGGAGTCCTCTACCTACCATGATCTTAAGAATGTTGGATTAATATACTTTTTGCTTACCTGTTCTGGTGGTTATTTCCAGGTTTGAAAGAGCAGTTGTAAGAGACTCTAGGAAAAGAGAAAAGCAGGGTGGTAAAGTGCACATTTGGGCCTCTAATATGAACTAATTTATTTCAAAAGGTTGGGACATGCCAGTTCATCCCTCTATCATCCACTAAAGACTGGCTGGATCATTATGTCTTGATCTAAACACCTTCCAGATGATTTCTCCCTTCAGATGTGATGGTTTCAGATAATGTGTATGGATGGATGTGGCTGCGAGTTCGTCTTCATCTTCCTTATGTGATAAATGGTTTTTGCTTGTCAGCAGGGAAATTACTAATTTACAGAGAATGTCTGGAAAACAAATTATAGGGAAGAGCTACTTCATCTTATGAACTCCCAAATAGAGTCCATTCTCTCTCTCTGGTTTTGCTTAACAATCTTATTAAATTTCTTGGCTCCATAAGAACTCAGATATATTTCCATATAGAAGAGGGAAAAAGTTCAAATTACCCTATCTACTTGGTACCACTGACAGTCCCTTTAATTGCTCTGACTTCTCCACTTTTGGTTCACATTAGGTTTTATCCAGAATTCTTAGGGACCCATATCACCAGTAGGATACCCTTTGTTCAGAGTTCTGTGAGTTCTTTATTCTAAAATGAGATAGAATGAGTTTTATCACCTGTGAAAGAAAGGTGCTGTGGGTCACTAGGGTGTGACCACTCATAGGGAGAGTGATTGAAACAGCCGTAGCATCTGTAGGTTCCACTGAAAGTAGGGCTCAGGGGGCCAAGAGCAAAGGTGGCCTGGAATTTTCCACTCTGTACTCCAGTAAACCAGTGTCCCGGGACCTTCCCCTCCCGGAAGAGATGGAATACGTTGAAGGAGCTCTCAGAGTGGCAGAAGAAAGTGAGGTTCTCTCCAGAGTTCATCTCAGGGCCCATTTGGGTGGAGAGAGAAGGTTTCCTGTGTCTTCCTAAAAGAAAAAGAAATCTTAATCTTGTAATTCCACTTCCTCAGTTTCCATGGAAGAGACATTTCTGTCCTGTTTAGAAGGCTATTTGTGCATGCTATAGAACCTCACAAATTTCGTTTATCTCTGCCATGGAGACTAAATGTGTGAGTGAGGTGGTGAGGAGGGTGGGAGGGAGGGATCAGATGAGAGAAGGAGAAGAAAAGAAAGCAAGAGGTATCATTAGACTTCACTATTTAATTCTGCTTGCTTTCCAGTTATTGGTTTATCCTTCATTACTGCTCAGAAAAAATGAGTGATGTGGATTTCTCCTCCTCTTCCCCCAACCCTAATCTTCTTCCTTCTCTTTCTCCTCCTACCTTCGCTACTTTTTCTCCTCATCTTATTTCTCATCCATGCCTTCTTCTTTCTTTTTGCATTTCATAAAACCCAGGATCATGAAAATTAAAATTTACTTTAAAAATAAAGTATTCTTCCAGGGAGATACAGCCCCATCCAGCAATGTGGGTTTCTCTGACAGAATGAAACTAATTCTCCACTTTAAACCTTTAGAAAACATGGTGTTGTCCAATAGCCCCTTGCTTCTGAATAAAAAATTAGGAGCCTAATTATTTTTCAAGAATAAGATGTGAAAATTATCATATTTTTCCACAGTGTATGAGAGACTCTGTGCTGACACCAGAATATGGCCCTCTATGCACGGATCTGCATTTGGCCACATGGTGGGGATGTTTAGATGAGTCCTGTGGCTGAGAAGGCCTTATTTTCCTTCCTATGCTCAGGTCCTTGTGGCCTAATTATAAGAACATTTGTGGTACAGGTATTATTCTGACCCAGGAAGTGGCTGTGGGAAAAGGTAGGCACCAGCTCCCAAACATCACTAATGATTTGTCCTTTATTTTTCTCTTTCATGGTCTACACGTCCTCTTATTTTTATAGATGCTTCTTGCCCTCTATCTCCTTTGTTCATTTCTCTTCCAATCACACCTTACCCTGTCCAGTCATATTCTAACTCTGTCTGTACAGAATTCACCTCTTAGATCATTATTACTCCACACATCGCTTATTAGAGGCAAAGAAACAAGGAATACAAGGGAAGGTCATGCCACACTCACCTGTGATCACCAAGTCCAGTGGCTCACTGGGGGCTGACCACTCAGAGGGGGCATGGCTGGAAGAGCCATAGCATCTGTAAGTCCCTGCCTGTGCAGATGTCATAAGAACCACAGAGAAACACGAATGGTCATGCTGTTTACCAAGCTTCTCTCCATGTTGTTGGGAATATCGTAAACCCCCCTCTTGGTGCAGGGTAAATGTGTCAAATGCTATATCTGAGAGGCATTGCAGGGTGATATTTCCACCTTCAGGCACCAGGGATTGTGGTCTGGCCAAGAGGGAAGGCTTTGTGAACACACCTGGAAGAGAGAGGGTGAGATGCAACTTATATCACCTACTTCTCCTCATGAAACAAATAGGTGGACACTGGACAGGAAGACATAGACAGTGACAGGACAAAAGACAGGGCTGGACATCCCCCACCTGTGACTATGATCTCCAGGAGTTCACTTTCTGCTGATGTCAGAGAGTAGCGACCATATGTTACAGAACACCGGTAGGTCCCCGCATGAGCTGCACTCACAGGACTCAGGGTGAAGGTGCCATTAGGAAGAACTCCCTGGAGTTCAGTGATCATCGTTCCCTTTACTTTGAATATTTTGAATTTGACAACACACTGACAATTGAAACGGCACTGGAGAGTCAAGTGACTTCTGAGTGTAGCCATGGGACTTGGCCATGCTGATAGGGAGGGCTTCTTCTGATCACCTGTGGAAGGAGGCTCGACTTAGAGAGAAACAGGGGAACCACCCCCATTCAACTTTCTTTTTAGGAGCTTCTCTTTCTTTCACCTTTCCAAACATTCTCCCCAATCTCTAACCTGTAGGTATCCAGATTTCCTAACAGGGGCAGGGACTGAGCTCAGGAATGCAAAATCTTGACAACTTTTCTAGGACAAAAGTTCTATTAGATGATGAAATAAATTTCTCTGAAAACACAATTTTCCAGCAGACAAGAGTTCATAACAGATAGAATGTCAGGCTCCATAGGATAAAGATTGGAGTGTATAAGAATCTTTAGCCAAATGATCTTTTGCTTCTGATCAGCTTCCTCTGTTGAGACAATATGTGGGAAACCAAAAATCTTCTGGTCTAGAGTAGGGTGAAATATGGATGGGGTTCTGGGTCTTGGGAGCCTCTGAGGGTCTAACATTTGTCCCTTTCATTATAAATATTCTATATGAATGTCCAAGCCCCAGCTCTGCATTCACACACTCAATAACAACCAGAGCTATTTGACCTAAGGGCAAAAGCTCAGAAGTGTCCAAGTCAAACCAGGAACTAGGATACCATAAGCAAGGTGCTTTATTTGCATTTCTAGCAATGTTCCCATTGGGTTCTCAATATCATCTATAGAGGTCCTTACCTCCACTTCCCCCTTAGTCCTTAGGTTTGGTTATCATAGCTCTGTGGTAGAATGTTGACACCGGTTGTGTCAAAATCCTTGAGTTTTGGAAGCAAAATATACTTATCTTCTTTGACAGGTTTAGGGATGGAGCTCAGGCAAGTGAAGTCTTGATACCATCCCAGGACAATATTACTTTAGCTAAGGTATACTAAATATGTTTATCTGAACGCAAAATTTTTTATGCCAGAAAGATTATATAAGCGATGTACGGCCAGGTTTTCTAATAAAAATTTGAGTGAAGAAGCCCTGATTTCATTGGTTGGTGCTCTTCTACCAAATGGACCACATGCCTGCCAATCTGCATTTTCTCTGAGACAACTTTAGGGTAGGCTTAAGATCATCTTGTCAAGTACAGGGTGAAATAGTCATGAATGGCCTGATCTTTGGGAAGATCTGAGAGTCCACCATTTGGTCCATGTTATTATACAAATGATGTTTGAATGCTCCTGTTCCAACTCCAAACTCAAGACTTCTCATAACAACACAAAATTGGGGGACTTCAGGGAAGCTGTTTCTAAGAGTTTTATGATAAAACAGGAATCTGAACCCCAACAGTGTGCTTTCCTTATATTTCTATTAGCATCACCATGGGTTCCTCATATAATTTGCATCTGCACCCATTTTCCTCCTCTCTCTCTTATCCTTGCCTCAAATCTCATATACTTGATCAAAATAGCTCTAAGAGGGGTCACTTAGAGAGTGCAGTGGGTAGAGTGTTTGCCTCTAATGTGCACAACCTGGATTTAATTTTTTTTTTCCATTTTGGGTCACACCCAGTGATGCTCAGGGGTTATTCCTGGCTCTGCACTCAGAAATTACTCCTGGCGTTGCTTGGGCGACCATATGGGATGCCGGGGGTTGAACTCAGGTCAGCAGCAGGCAAGGAAAACACCGTACCTGCTGTACTACCACTCTGGCTCTGGGTTCAATTCTTGGTACTGTGTATGGTTCCCCGACCATTGCCTGGAGTGATCTATGATCATAAAGTCAGAAGTAAGCCCTTAACACCACATGGTTGCGGCTGGAAAACCTAAACAAGCAAGCAAACAAACAAACAACTCTGATGGGAAAGGAAGGACTCACCCAGTTGTGCCCGGATTCTTGGTCCCAGACAGAATCCTGGAAGGAAAGTACATGAGAAGGGGTTCTCTCACCATAAATCCCACGTCCACATCTACCCTCTTAAATGAAACAAGTTTATTAGTGTGAGAAACCCCATATTTCTCTGTGACCTTCTCTTTTCCCTTTAAAGACTCACCAAGACCCAGAAGCATGAGGAACAGGGGGGACATATTTCTGTTTCTGTAACACAGGAGGCAGGAACTGAGGAGAGCTGACACATGCATAGGAAGTGGTGAGTTGGTTCCCCACCCAATAGTTGTACCATCCACAAGATGTTTGTCATACATGAAAGTGACCAGTTCTTCTCACTCTGTGGAAGACCAGTTGAAGGGTGTCCCTGAGGTAACAGTATAAATAACCAAATTTGTAAATGTCATACAAAAGTCTTTTTCATATTAAAAACATGGAGATATTTGAACAGTTAGCTAGACTTTGAATGTTTTCTATCACTCAAGTTCTAACATCCCTTACCATCTACAAGACAATAATAAATAGCAACATAATTTATTTAGGGAAGAAATATTTTCTAAATTTTATTTTTTTAGAACGAGAATTTACAAAATCATTCATAGTTTGGTTTTAGACATACAATATTCCATCACTGATCCCACCACCAATGTCAACTTCCCTCCACCAGTGATGCCAGCCTCCCTTTCTGCTCCTTTCACACCCCAACCCCCAGCCTCCAGTATTCCATCTTGACAGAAACTTTTAAAGTTTGATCATTAAAGTTTGGGTTGTTGATGACTCTGTGGTTTGACTACTTAGCTCTGTCATTCCTTAACATCACAGGTGTTCCTTGACTCTTGCTTCCTGTTGCTTTTTTTCTCTCTCTTCTCCCAGCACCTTTTTTCCCCGAGAAGGAATATTAAAAGTATCTTCCACCTAGCATATATTTAATCTTTCTTTCTTTGTTTTTCCTTGTTTGGGGTCATATCTGGTGATGCTCATGAGTCACTCTCCATCTTGAGCTTTGGGGTTATCCCTGGTGGTGTTCAGGGATATGTAATACAAGGAACGAAACCCACACTTCATATATGTCCATTCTAGTCCATTGATCTATATATCTGGCCTTAGATATTATATGTGTTGTAAATTCTTTGCTTCTAAAAAAAAGAGCTACACCTTTGTATGAGAACCCAGGGTCAGGTGGAACTGACTTAAGGATGCCAGTTTGATCTTGTAAATTGGGCCAGGTATATAGCAAGTCTTTGGATTATCTTGGTAGGACAGAAAGGGGATGTGGAATTAATTGAAAACCATATTCTAAATAGTTGCAGGTCTTTTAAAAAGTCAGGATGGACAAAAGCCCTTTCTAGAAGGTGTATATCTTTCCTCTTGATCTTGATTTCCATTCTGCATCTCACCTTCTCACATATTCTTCATGTTATACCTAATCATCTGAATCAGTTTTTCATATATCGTTGACTCAGTTAGTGTTGTTCTTACCAAATCCGTCTTTCTTTACTCTCTCTCCCCCTCCTCTCTCTCTCTCTCTCCCTCTCTCTCTCTCTCTTTCTCCAAAAGGACATCTTGTTTATCTCCCTCAACCCTTCTGTATCATAAAGAGAATGGAGGAAGTTCTGGACAGTCTTACCTGTGATCACGATGTCTAAAGGGTCACTGGGGGCTGACAATAAATAGAAGTACAACTCTGTTTTCACACAGAAAATTTTATCCTTTCTGAAGGAAACAACTCCAGCTAATATGCAAAAATACTTTAAACAACTGAGTTTACAATAAAAACCTTCTGGAATTTTAGGAGTCATAGATATGAATACCCTATCTCTTCTGATAGAACAGCAATAGTACTCAGAAGCTCCTACATCATGGAGGCACTGGAAAATTAGTTATTATCTTATCCTCAGAAGGTCTACTGTTCCTCCATATCCTTCCCTTTCTTTATATGTGAGACCAAGTACTCCCCAAATACCCAGCTCTGAGAACACCATCCTATCTTCTTCAGATGCTTACAGAGTCTGGTTTATTAAGGAAAAGAATCTGGGGAGGGTCTCTAGACCAGAGTCAGGGCAAATTTTCCCAGAGTCTCCATTTTTATAGACAAGATATTAACACATAGTCAAGATATTTCCACAGGTAACTGGTCAGAGTCTCCTGTGAGGTCTGCCCTCTTGTTACAGAATAATCTTTATTTAAGCTTGATAGGAACCAAAGGACTGGAGAAAGGACTCACCCATTTGTGTGCAGATGTATTGGAGCAAGAAATTCCTTGGAGAAAAAGTCACATGTTGACCATCCACCTCCATACAAGACCTGAACTTCCAATTCATGCCCCCTCATACCAGAATTGTGGGAGTTTCACCTGCCAGATTCCTCCTGGGTTTAAGATAAACACAGCTATCAAGGTTTCTATTTATGTAAATTATCTAGATAAAGTTTTACAATTTATACTTATTTTTAAAAAGTTTATGTTTTCTTAAGTATTTATGTTTCTACACACTGATAGCTATTTGAAATAAAAGATAGATAAATTTTAAATTTTGATCAATGCTGAAGCATCGTATGTCTAAAACCCAACTATAAATAACTTTGTGAACTGTGGTGCTCTAAAAAAATTTAAAAAATTAAAAATGTGAGCGATAGCACAGCAGTAGGGCGTTTGCCTTGCACGCAGCCAACATGGCCAACCCGAGTTCGATTCCTCCTCCCCTCTCGGAGAGCCCGGCAAGCTACCAAGAGTATCTCGCCCACACGGCAGAGCCTGGCAAGCTCCCTGTGACTTATTCGATATGCCAAACACAGTAACAACAAAGTCTCCAATGGAGACGTTACTGGGCCCGCTCGAACAAATTCTCACATTTAATTGTAATATAATCTCCCATTTATATAATTTGTCTACATTTTTTTCTGATTTCTGGTTTTCATATGACTATGTCAGCAGACATTTAAATTACTTTTTAATGAACTTTTTTGTGTTGTTACAAGGTTATGGATGATAACTCAGTATTTTATGTTAATTCATATGCTGAATTTCACTGTCACTGTCCTCCTGTTATTCATCAATTGGCTCTAGCGGGCCCAGTAATG